TTTTGACCATTTTTGGTAATTGGTCATGTGACCACCCTCCAGGGAAGCCCATTGCATGGACCCTGACATGTGGGATACATTTGAAAAATTGCAATGAAATGCCGAGGGCTACATTTGAAATTTTGCAATGAAATACCCAGGGTATCTATTGAAAAATCGCAATGAAATGCGCCAGGTATCCATTGAAATTTTGCAATGAAATATCCAGGGATACATTTGAAAAATCGCAATGAAATGCCCAGGGTATCTATTGAAAAATCGCAATGAAATGCACCAGGTATCCATTGAAATTTTGCAATGAAATATCCAGGGATACATTTGAAAAATCACAATGAAATACCCAGGGATACATTTGAAAAATCACAATGGAATGCCCAGGGTATCTATTGAAAAATCGCAATGAAATATCCAGGGCTGCAATTGAAATTTTGCAGAAAATGCGCTGGGTATCTATGGAAAATTCACTATGAAATACCCAGGCCTACATTTGAAATGCCTTTCAAAAAATCCTAAGCATTATAGATATGGCCTCTAGGCTTAAGTCTAAGTTATAGAAATGACCCTCTAGGCTTGGGTCTAGGTTATAGAAATAAAGTGGTAGCCACTAGTGCTCTGCCTGTAAGTGGCAATTTCTTGAGACATTTTTTTCAGCTTAAACAAACGTCCAAACAGTTGATTTAACCGGTGAAAATCCAGGCAATCAATATCACTTGGTCGGGATGAATAAGACTGTTGACAGAGTTCGTTTCCCTGGAGAATACATTGCAGACCTTAAAGGTTCGATCCATAAGCATAAGAAAGCCAAACGAACATGTATGTAACCTCACAACTATACTCTCGACTAACATTGAATATTTTTCAAGATGCCGATATTCTCTTTGGCATGCGCCCAACGGTTACAGCCAATTAGTGGTACAATAGTGAAAATGATGATCCTAATGATAATTTTTGTAGGACTGTATCGTCTGCAGTCCAATCGTACATACAAATAACATAGTATCCCTTACATAGCCAGTCGTGTATCTAATGCCTCGAACTGGCCCACATCCTTATTTTTTGTTATTTGAACAAAAGGTATTAGACAAACATGCATCAATTCTGATCTGAAAAGTGGACGTCCACTTCTCAGTTTAAAATTTATCATTGTTTGGTCGAAGTTATCAATCACATCCATCGATACCTACTCGAGCTATTTGAACCTGGGTCTCAATTGATGCGTCTGAATTTTTTTCACTATCTTTTTGATACATCTCACCTGAAGAACCTACAGGAGGACTAGAATCCGCCTCTCTCACCCCAGTCATGATCGTCTAATTCAAGCACGGCATTGACAATTATGTCGCGAGGACAATCAGTCCCATGACGGCAAACCAACTGGAAGATAATACATTCACGGTCGTCAACCTTCTTCTCAAGTGCGATTCTTTCACCGTGGAGCCTAGGGAGCAGCTGTGTGCGTGGGGTAGATCTCGTCCAATCGAAACACTGGCTCCTCAAGACGGTAGTCGCTCCATGCTTGAATCCATCGCAAAAATTTTCTTTCGTTGAACTTGTTGACACTAGGATCATTACACGTTTTCAGTTCAAGTACGTTTGCACCTGGCAACGTCTGTCCTGGGTAAAACGCCTGTCGTGGATATGCCAATTAAATCTCTACCAAAACTCTATAACAAAGCATGATTTCGTTATGCTTATTGGCATTTGCGGTCCCGGCCCTCTAACATTTCGCGACATACGTCTTACAAACATTTGGCAGCCCATACGCCACGCCGTCTTGTTAACTTGGTCCGAATGTCAATATACACCCTTTAACGTCATAGCTGATGCTCTGGGGGATTACTTTGATCGCCAATGTAGGAACATATTCGAAGATTACTCAACTCCTTCTAGTCAAATAGGAGGTGGTCGTACCATTGTCAGGACCCTCTTAGGCATCGACATAAAAGAATTTGTGTCATCCCACAAAGGACTAGAGGGTTGTGACGCGGATTTATTTGAATTTATCAATTACTGTGAATTGGACATTGCAGAAGAATGCATGCGACGAGATGCGACCTCATTCACGTGCAATCTGCCCCTCACTATTGTTGGAAAGTTGTTGAACACGCAAGACCTCGACGCTTTGGCAAAAATGCATGGTATCAAACTGCCTTCGCGCCTCAAGAAGCCTGACAAATTATTATTGTTCGAAAATCATCATTGCTCTATATGCGAAAGTCACACGTCGCTATTCTGTTACTCTTCAGATAATGTCAAACGCGTAAAGGCTCACTTGAGACAAAGAAAACTCAGAAATCTACTAAATTCTCCCAAGTACATTCGCAAAAGTCGAAAACCAGTATTCAAAAAATTGGCTGGAAGTAATTCAGTCCCATTGAGCACTGTCTCGAATTCCCTCTTCCCCCCACATCCACCATCACAGAAAGACATCCATCGCATAATCTCAGGGTTTTGTCGTGATATGAGACTGGTCAATTTTGAACAAGCTGGATGTGCTGTTTGTGGCGAGCTTGCGTTATTGTCGAAATTGAAAAATATCAAAGACTTGAACTGCTCTTTGAGTCCGCTTATCGAGTACGGTGTGACGAGGAAAGAACGCCAGTCTGCTTCCAACCCTATTTGTGATATTGAAGGACCTGTACTAGACGGCAAATGCACAGGGGTGTGCGAATGTTGCGAAGCAAGTCTCATGAAAGGGACAACTCCGAAATATGCTCTTGCAAATGGTCTCTGGATAGGAGATGTTCCCCCTCAATTGCAAAATTTAACTTTTGCCGAGCAACTTCTGATTGCTCGTGTTCGACACAACCATTGTCGGGTGCGGGTAGCCTCTGGCAGAGTAAAGATGACAGCAAATGTCATCATGTTCTCCAATCCGACATTGAAAGTATACCACAAACTTCCTCCATCAAGAGAGGAACTTGACCAAGTTTTAGCATTCGTGTTTACTGGAAGTGCCCAACCCTGTGACAAAGATTTTGAAAGAACACCTATGTTGGTTCACAGGAACAAAGTGGCTGCAGCCTTAGAATGGCTCAAACTGAATCATGCAGATTACGAAGATCTAGAAATATCCGCTGAAAATTTGAATACTTATCCTCTGAACAGTGTTCTGGTCCATGTTGATTATCGTAAGACATCAGAGGGTTCTAGCAATAAACTTGCATCCACTATGAGTGTGCATGATATGGAAGAAGAGGAAGGTACTGAAGAAGGAGACTGCTCTTTCACAGTTCACAGGCTCACTGGTCTTGAGTATTCCAACATGACAATGAAGGCCCTGAAAGCCGCAGCTTTACTTCACCTTGAAAGCGAGGGTAAAACATTGGGGATTGGTCACAACTCCGTTCCTCAGTCTATGTACGATAATCCACAAGCGTATCCTCAAATGTTTCCATGGCTGTTTCCATATGGTTTAGGACGTATTGGCCAAGCTAGGCATACAAACAAAAATTCGGAAATGAAGATCAAAAAACATTTCTTATTGTATCACGATAAGTGATTTCAAACCGATGTGTATTTTCCCATCGTTGCATTCAATCATGAGCAACTCAAGGGTGGTGTAACCGGTAGTTTTCTTCTAGCGAAGAGACACAAATTTGGCGAAATTTCTGAAAAACTAAAACAAATCAAACCCGATGTTTTGAAAAGCATTGCTGAAAGATTGAAAGGAGGCGAAAGGGTCAAGCCAGAAACTAATGAGGAAAGCTTTGCTTTTCCATCTTAGAATCTATAGACCATATCGGCGGCGACGTGAAAGGATCTTTGACAAAAAAAAAGCACATGCGAAATGAAATATGGTCCACCATCGCTTTTAAAGGAGCTCCTACGTGGTTTATCACACTTTCACCGGCAGACAATCGGCACCCTCTCTGTCTTTATTTCGCTGATGAACAAATCAAATTCTGTCCTGATCTGCGATCTGCGCAAGAACATTATCGTCTTGTGAGTAAGAACCCTGTAGCGGCTCTTGTTTCATTAAACACGTCTTGGGTGTGGGCACAAACGATCACAGATTATATGGCGATACTTCTGCATATTACGGAACTGTAGAGCAACAAGGGCGTCTGACGCTACACTTTCATATGTTGCTTTGGATAAAAGGTGCATTGTCTCCTCAGGAAATTAGGGACCGTCTGATGGCTGCTGACGGGCCCTTTCAAGAAGTGTTAATAACTTATTTAGAAGGTTCACACGTGGGAGAATTCTTAACAGGCACAATGAACGACATTAAAGCAAAAGTGCCTATAGTCAATTCCACAAAGCAGGGAATTCACGCTATTTTAAAACCCGATGACATAGCGCCGGAGATACCTACCGACTATCGAGATCCAACACAAACTTTCCCAGATATGCCGCCTTCGCTGTGTACCCATGAAAACTGCAATAACTGTTTCCAATGTCTAGCGGTCAAAAATTGGTTTAGCCATTACAATAACACAGTAGACGACCTCATCTTTCGTTCAAACCTACATAGGACTTGTACTCCCATGGTCAAAGTCGTTAGCAAAGCAAAGAAAAAAGGAGTAAACGATACATCTCAAGACGAGGTCTTTACCTTCCCCGGGTTATTCCGTATGGAATCCATGTGGAATCCATGGAATCCATGGAATCCATGTTGGCTGAGGACCCAGCCATTTTCTTATTCCATAGACCTCATGGATTCCATATGGAATGACCATGGAATGGTCATGGAATGATTAATTCCATATGGACTCCAACACCACTCCATATGGATTCCATTGGATTCCACATGGAATGCAGGCATATCCACCTTGGATTCCATGGAGCAGTCCACATGGATTCCATGGATGACCATTATACCATTAGAATACAGTATTTATAGTGTCCTTACTATATTTAAGTAAAAATAGAAATTTTACATCAACGGGAATTGAACAGTCAACCTCGTCAATATTAGCAGTGCTCAAACCAACTGAGCCACGAAGGCATTATCATAAGGTAAAGTAAAGGTATATATATACTGCCTTTGTCATGTGGCATCTCAAACGTGACACGACGCGTTGCCAAAATGCCACGTCGTTTCTTCCTTCCACCACCACCATCACCATCCACCCCACCGTCTCAAGCCACGACCGCCCACGACATCGACGACGATGACGACCACCACCACCACCACGCTGACGACGACCACCATGCTGACGATGCACGACGACACGCAACGTCGTCAACAACCACCCCGCCGTTACAAGAGCCAAACGACGTGGCAACGCCCCGTCACGTGGATGGGAGGCGACGACGATGACGACGTGGAACGTCAATGGACGTTCCGCCTTGACTCCAGCCCAGGTAAGTGGACTGGGTAACCCCTCCCAGTCCACCTTTTGACAACAACAAACCAGGTGCCATGTCGCAGTCAGCGACGTGGCAACCAAACGACGAACGGACACAACAACCGACGAGCCCGCCCACCCACAAACAACGCACACCGCCCCACATGACCCCCACTGCCCACGAGCGCCCACGAAAAGAAACGAGCGCCCAGACACGACAGCGAACGCCCACGACACGACAACCAACGAGCCCGCCCACCCATGAACGACGCACACCGCCCTGCACAACCCCCACCGCCCACAAACGACCCCAAAGGACCCCAAACACCCATGACACGACAACAGACGAGCCCGCCCACCTATGAACGACGTACACCCACCCAAACGAGCCGCAGCGCCCACGAGACGACTGCACGCAAACGAAAACAAACGCCCAGCAGACGAAGACGACGACCGCCCACAAGACCCAGCACCATCCCCAACGCGAGTGCCCATGAACGACAACGACAACGAGCACCCACCAACGAAAACGGACGCCCACGAAATGACGACGACCGCCCACCAACATGAACAGACATGGGCAAGGACGAGCCTAGGTGAGCTCCCCCTCCCTCCCCCCTCCCATTGCTCCCCCCTCCCTCCATTGCTCCCTCTCCCTCCATTGCTCCCCTCCCATTGCTCCCTCTCCCTCCATTGCCCCCCCTCCCTTCATCAATCCCCACCACTCTCTCCCCCTCACTCTCTCCCCCCTCACTCTCCACCACACACACTCCTCTCAATCACTTCTCCCTTCAATATTTAATGTAGTAAAATAAATATATGTAGTCCTATTCAATACATTTTAAATTCTCCCTGTTCAGTTATTAGTATGGAATAAGTGTAAAACTAACTGTAGAACCACTGGTCCTTACCATATTTTATCATAAAACCATGGCCTAGGCCAGGAAGGCCTTGTGCATAGCTCCACATACTTTTATGAAAAGTATATCATATATATCCCAGGCCCTTTTATGATAAGGATTTTTTTCATAAGAGGCCTTGTGCATTTCAATAAACAACAATTTGTAGTGTCCACTTTTTGAATGTACAAAAGTTTGTCTTGTCTGCCTTTTTGACACTACAAAAGTTTGGAGTGTCTGCTTTCTGAAATTACAAAAGTTTGTAGTCTGATTTTCTGACATACACTGTGTAGTGTCTTTGACTATGTTAAGGTTCATGGGGATATGGCTGAAGGATTGAGTTGGCTTGACACCCATCTATCTATTGCTGCATCAGTGGTTTTGTATCATGCTCAACTTGTCTTTGACATAAGTAGAGCCTATTCTATCCTTTCATGTTAATAGTTACCCTCCTCTCTCAAACTATACTTAACTCTGATTCATTAGTCCATGATGAAAAAGCCTTACCAATTTCAAGATTGTCTTTCTCACATGACTCCTCAATGAAGATTGAGAAAGAGACATGACCCAATTGCCCCTTATCCTTCACCTATCAGTCCTTCTGAATGAGCTAAGACTGAATGATGAAAGGTTGGAAGGTGTCAAGGGATCATGCTATGAAAAGCCTGGATAGGCTGCCAGGTATCACACACAATTCATAATTTTCAGAGAAGTCACTTTCAACAATAACTATAGTCAAATACAACAGTGGCTACTAATGTGAATACCAGGTCAAAGATAGGATGGCGGCTTCTGATTTAAAAAGAGAGGACAACGGTCCTAATGCAAAAGACAGGTTGAGCATGATACCAAAACCAATGATGCAACAATGTATATATGTCAATCCTTCAACCATATCCCCATGAACCTTAACATAGTCAAAGACACTACACAGTATATGTCAGAAAATCAGACTACAACCTTTTGTAATTTCAGAAAGCAGACACTCCAAACTTTTGTAGTGTCAAAAAGGCAGACAAGACAAACTTTTGTAGGTTCAAAAAGTGGACACTACAAATTGTTGTAGTCTCAAAAAAGCAGACACTACAACTTTTGTAGTCTTGAAAAGCAGACAATACAAACTTTTGTAGTCTCAAATAGCAGACACTACAAACTTTTGTAGTCCAAAAAAAGGGGACACTACAACTTTTGTAGTCTCAAATAGCAGACAATAGAAACTTTTGTAGTCTAAAAAAAGGGGACACTAGAAACTTCTGTAGTCTAACCAAAGGGGACACTAGAAACTTATGTTAGTAAAATTTGTAGTCTATTTCCGACATTTTGTAGTCTTTTGTAGTCTTTTAGTAAATTGTATAGTCTATTAGTAAACTTTAAACCTTGTAAGGTATGTCCAACTTTTGTAGTCTTTTGTAGTCTATCAGTGGTCCTTATAGTCTATGTCAGACTTTTTGTAGCCTTTTGTAGGCTATCCATGTCAATTTCCCTTTTGAGGTATGCACCTTCCTTTTTGGCACAATTTTCCCACGATATGATAATTGTAGCCTCTTCTCTTGGATTTCTAAATGTGTTGAAATCATCTTGTTTGGTTTTGTTTTCATGGAGAAAAATGCAAAAACAAAACAAACAAAAAAAAGCTGGCAATGAGAAAAATATTTTACCTCATATCTCTACAATGAAAGCACTTTACAACATAATTTAAACAGATTCAGGAAGCTACAGTGCAGGACTACAATTTTTGTTTTTAACCATTTTAGGCAACTGGTCATGTGACCATTCTCCTGATGACCCACCTGACAGCAGCCAATGAAAAGGGCTGGCCTGCAATGAAAAGTATCCAATGAAATATCCTGGCCTGCAATGAAAAGCTACCAATGAAAATACCAGCAGCAATGAAAAGCGGTCAATGAAAAGAGCTGGCCTGCAATGAAAAGTATCCAATGAAATATCCTGGCCTGCAATGAAAAGCTACCAATGAAAAGACCAGCAGCAATGAAAAGCAGTCAATGAAAAGAGCTGGCAGCAATGAAAAGTATCCAATGATAAGACCTGGCCTGCAATGAAAAGCAGTCAATGAAAAGAGCTGGCCTGCAATGAAAAGCTACCAATGAAAATACCAGCAGCAATGAAAAGCAGTCAATGATAAGAGCTGGCCTGCAATGAAAAGCAGTCAATGAAATAGCCTGGCCTGCAATGAAAAGCTACCAATGAAAATACCAGCAGCAATGAAAAGCAGTCAATGATAAGAGCTGGCCTGCAATGAAAAGTATCCAATGAAATATCCTGGCCTGCAATGAAAAGCTATCAATGAAAATACCAGCAGCAATGAAAAGTGGTCAATGAGAAAGGCTGGCCTGCAATGAAAAGTAGCCAATGAAAATCCTAGAGAGCAATGAAAAGCTACCAATGAAATATCCTGGCCTGCAATGAAAAGCACCCAATGAAAATGCCAGCAGCAATGAAAAGTGGATAATGAAAATGGCTGGCCAGCAATGAAAAGTGGTCAATGAAAATGGCTGGACTGCAATGAAAAGCAGTTAATGATGAGTTGTGACCTGCAATGAAAAGTTATTGAAATGCACAAGGCCTCTTATGAAAAAAATCCTTATCATAAAAGGGCCTGGGATATATATGATATACTTTTCATAAAAGTATGTGGAGCTATGCACAAGGCCTTCCTGGCCTAGGCCATGGTTTTATGATTTGGATGGTAAGCACCACTCGTAGAACTGATGATGTGGACTTAGATAAGTCTGGAATTATGATTCCATACAGTTATTCCATCTGGATTCCACATGGAAAAAGTATGGAATCCATCCAAAAAAATTATGGAATCCATCTGGAAAAAGCATGGATTCCATCAACCAAAGTATGGATTCCATCTGGAAAGGCATGGATTCCATCAACCAAAGTATGGATTCCATCAACCATTCCATGGAATCCATCAGCCATTCCATGGAATCCACCTGGGGGAAGTATGGATTCCATCCAGTCCATATGGAATAACCTGGGGAGGGTAAAGTATTGCTCAAGACGAATCCACAGAAACTGATATTCAAGGACCAAGAGGATGCCTAAACAAGGATGGAATTTGTAAAGCACGATTTCCTAGAGAAATTTTCCATCAAACTGAAGTAGATCCAGTTGACGGTCATCTCAATATGAAAAAATTGGAACCTATGATGAACACCCTCACACCTTGCGTAACGTACTTAATGCGGTCCAACACTGATGTGACTAGTTTGCTATCGGGCACTGCAGTTAAAGCAATCGTGGCCTACATATCTGATTACATCACTAAGCAGAGCTTGAAAACGCATCAAATTTTTTCTTCAGCATATGATATTTTTGAATCAAATCCACATCTTGTTGACGGAGAAGTCAAGCCATTGGAAGGTGCTCAAAAAATATTGCTCAAAGTTGTTAATAGCTTGTCTACGAAGATCGAATTGGGAAGTCCGATGGCTGCTATGTACCTTTTAGAACATCCAGACCACTACACTAGCCATAAATTTGTGACGTTTTGGTGGAAAGGTTTTGTGTACCACATTCGTAGGGCCTGGGATACAACATCTAACGATGACAATTTAGACGATTATAAATCAGATGAAAACGAGCAAAATAATTTAGAGATGAACGTAGATTTGCTGAACACTCACCTCGATGTGGATCGCGGCATGGAGATCGATTCAATTGCCAATTTGCCTGAGGAAATTAACAATGATATGAACGTTGATGCCGATTTGCCCGAGAAAACTAACGACGATATGAACGTTGATCACGACAAAGCTACCAACAATCATATGTACAAAGGAGGAGGTCACGATAACGCATTAAACGACAAAGCCACAAATATAACGACAAGCGAAGTGGTACAAAAAGTTTTAAGTCAGTTTGACTGTCGTAATGAAGAAGACCTTGTTGAACACGGAAATAACGATTATGATGACGAAATGGCTAATCAAAACGACACTCGACATGACGTATACGACGAAAGAATTCACACTCTTGAGAAACTATATGAGGATGGTACGGCTTTTGGTCCAAGGCAAGACGATGACCAAACTAAGAACGAGGATAAAGTTGTCCTGGGGCGAGAACAAGGTCACTATGTTGCTAAATCCAACGTAGATGACTACATTTATCAACCTGAAGCTTTCTCAAATCTTACTCTCATTGAATGGATGCAGACATCAGTGAGAAAGCGTCGGTCGAAGAAAGCCCAAATAGATTTCCTCGAAGTATTGCAAACGGCACATGACACAGATATTCAAGAAGTTGAGAGGGACGACGACACCCTCGACATCTTGAAACATGCCTTTTTGCCCGAACATCCTCTATACAAAACACATGCCGTCTCTTGCGACCCCAATCGATTAACAAACTTCATACCCAACTTTGTTGGAGGCACTTTACCCCGCGCTGACCAGGGAGACAGAGAATTTTACTGTTGTACTATGCTCACTCTGCTTGTTCCTTGGAGAACTGGTAAGGAATTAAAACAAGAAGGTGAAAGTTGGCATGACGCTTTTACCACATTTCCATTTTCTTCCGAACAAAAGAGGTTGATGAGTAACTTCAACTTGAGGTACGAGTGCAACGATGCAAGAGATGATTATCACGCCATATTGAAAGCAAAAGGTGTTGCGGCGAATAAAGTATTCTCTATTGGCGATAGGTTCATGGGTGAAGTTGATCTCGACATCGACCCAGACAATGGAACAACATACGGTTTAGAATACAATATAATGGACGAGACAGCTCCAGAAATTGGCAAAATCTCTCAACGCAAACTTTCCCAGATGGCCGATGTGGACAGAATCATGATGTCTTGTGGTTGGCTCGACAATTGCAAAAATTATATAATACAGCCCTACACACATTTCAAGCCACAAATATTACGTAGTGCAAATCAGTGGAAAACACTCGTTAACGAAGCAAAGCAAAAACTGTTAACACTAAAAAATGCACATCTGCCTACGTCCGAAGAGCAACAACCCATAGATTCAGATAAATCTTCAGATAAAGTACATGTGCTAACCGCGAATTATTTCACCAAGACATTCAAAGCGCAGAAGGAGATTCATAACGACATAATCGATGAAACGGTGATAAAGTACAAACTAAATGACGAACAAGAGCAAGCTTTTCGAATTGTCGCTAACCATGCCTCCTCCTTGGCACCCCCAAATCAACTCAAAATGTATCTCAGCGGTATGGGAGGTACCGGCAAGAGTCAAGTACTCAAGGCTATTGCAGAAATGTTTGAACGGAAAAAGGAGGCCCATCGTTTTATAATATTAGCGCCTACGGGTACCGCAGCCGCTTTATTAAACGGTCATACTTATCATTCGGTGTTAAGTATACGCATTTCAAAAAAAGAAGATGAGGATCGACAACCTCGTATTTCCGAAGCGAAAGCGGTACACGACGCGCGCATACGCATGCAAGGCATACAATATGTCTTCATTGATGAAATATCCATGGTAGCATGTCATGAGCTCTACGCTATTAGTTCACGTTTAAGTCAAGTTCGAAACGTTCATGATAAACCTTTTGGTGGTATTAACATGATCGTAGCAGGAGACTTTGCTCAACTACCCCCCGCAAGAGGACATGCCCTTTATAGCAATGAAGTTGCCAAAGTTCAAGACTTCTCACATTCTAAGAATTCACAAGAAAGCACAATAGGTAAAATCTTATGGCATCAATTTACTACAGTTGTTATTTTGAAACAAAATATGAGGCAAACAGTACAGTCTCCTGAAGATGCGAAATTGCAAACTGCTTTGGAAAACATGAGATACGCACCTTGTACGCACAGCGACGTCGTCTTTTTGAACACTAGAATTGCCAGCAGATGAAGGGATCAACCTCAAATCAATGACCCTCGCTTTCGACACATGTCAATCATAACTGCCTGGAATTCTCAAAAAGACAGAATTAACGAAATAGGTAGCAATCGTTTTGCTCATGATACTGGTCAAAGCCTGGAGCATTTCTACTCCATTGACAAACTTAGCAACTCCGCTTCGCCCACAGGAAAAACTGGTTGCCTGGGAAACATTGCTATCGGACTACAAAGTGTCTTATGGGATGCATCGCCGTGTACCAGTGAACACATTCCAGGAAAATTGTCAATCTGTTTAGGTATGCCCGTCATGGTCAGGATCAATGATGCTACAGAACTCTGCATCACAAAAGGACAAGAGGCTGTCGTCGTAGGATGGAATGATTTCATCAGAGACCATGGAAAAAAGGTACTAGAAACACTGTTCGTGAAACTCGTAAATCCCCCGAGAAATGTAGAACTGCCAGGCCTTCCACTCAACGTCGTACCTATGTCAAGAACGAGTTCTACAGTCAAAGCTCTACTGCCCAACGATCATATGGTAACCCTCACTCGACAACAAGTTATGGTCTTGCCCAATTTTTCTATGACTGATTATGCTGCTCAAGGTAAGACCCGACCTTTAAACATTGTGGAGCTCAATAATTGCAAGACCACTCAATCTTATTACACCTGCCTGTCCAGAAGTGCATCAGCTGATGGCACTATCATTGTCCAAGGTTTTGACACTCGTAAAATAACAAAAGGTATATCAGGTTTCCTCAGACAAGAATTTAGAGAATTGTTTTTACTCGATGAGGTAACAACTATGCGTTACCACGGGACGTTACCTGAAGGCATCTTCGGAGACTTGAGAAATCCAACCGTCCGCGCATATCAATTGTGGAAAAGAATCAAAAAAAAGGAGCAATTGCCTTGCATTGCCGCGTTGAGATGGGGCCCTACAGATCAAGAAATAAAAGACATACAAAAGGATGGCACCTGGGACCTCAAAATAAATGCCCAGACCGCCATTTCAAACTATATCCCTGATCCAAGTAAAATCAAACCTAAAACGAATACATCTTCAACTGAAAAAGCCAAAAAAAAAACCAATACAACGACACAATCCGAAATGACAATAACTAATTATTCGCCGGTAGGTCCTATCTGGGATGCCATCTCATATAGTTGCACTTACGACGCACCCTTTGCGATCCTGTATAATATGTGGAAAGAAAACAAACGTGCACATATGATCAAGTTGTCCTCACTCAGCGTTTATATGAAAACTGTGGTACAAGGTTTCGCAGCCTATGAAAACAGCACATGCAGCCTTGAAGTCACCAGAGATATCACGCGACAACTACTGTACAAGTATGACAACGACTCATATCCAAAGGGCCATGTTTTTACCGACATCCAACAGCTTATCAAGGAAATTGTAGGTCATCCTTCCATGTTTACTTCGCCTGTTACTTGTCCTGATTGCAATTACAAAACTACTCAAATGTTTGGTAACATCAGGGAATTTACGGCACTTGAAGGTTTAGAACTACAGCAAACCCAACACCGTTGTCTTTCTGAAGCACTTCAAATCTGCTTGAACGGTTGGCGACGTTGCCCAAAATGTTTCAGACGTTCCCATGAAGTCATGCTTCGCCTGCCTGATATTTTACCATACGCACCCCACTTGTTAGTGGTACAGCTTCATCAAGAAGATCTGATCATCGACACCAAATTCAAACTGTTTTGCGATAATAGGTCATTAACATTTACCTTGCATGGTGTAATTTACGCGGGTAATTATCATTTCAACAGTCGCATCATCACTTCAGACGGGAAGATATGGTTCCATGACGGCCAAAATGGAGCGCGCGCATTTCCAGTATCACATATACATTCACAGCCCTCTGACACATGGTTAAATACATGCAATGACAAACATGCCTCTTTCGCAATATATTCTCTGATTGGTTGAGTCCCGATAGTAATATCTCTCAACATCTTGTGGTCAGCCAAAGATCTGTCCAACACGGAACTTTTGTTGCAACCAGCCGCGGAGGATGCCACTGCACTAGTAGCTACCACTTTTATGATAAAATACAGGCAAGTGCCTGCACACCGACATCCACACTGCCTAATGAATTTATGAAATGAGAAGAGTAGGTAAAACTTATGAAATGTATTTCATTTCTTTACCAGTGCTTCTCATGACTATTTCATAACTGTCCTGAGACATATTTCAATACTACTTCATTGCAATTTCATTACTGCCTGGCCTTCCATTTCATTGTCTACCCAGCATTGTTTCATTGCTATTTCATTCTTGCCTGACTTTTAATTTCATTGCCTACCCAGCCTTATTTCATTGCCTTTTCATATCCTTGCCTGGGCTACTTCATATTCATTTCATATCCCTGCCTGGACAATTTCATATCCCTGCCTGGGCAGTCTCATATCCCTGCCTGGGCAATTTCATATCCTTGCCTGAGCAATCTCATATCCCTGCCTGGGCTACTTCATATTCATTTCATTTCTTGACTTAGGCAATTTCATATCCCTGCCTGGGTAATTTCATATCCTTGCCTGGGCAATCTCATATCCCTGCCTGGGCTACTTCATATTCATTTCATTTCTTGCCTTAGGCAATTTCATATCCCTTCCTGCATAATTTCATATCCCTGCCTGGGCAATTTCATATCTATTTCATTCCCTACCTTGGGCAATTTCATATCCTTGCCTTTGCAATCTCATATCCCTGCCTGGGCTATTTCATACCTACCCTACTGCATTTATCATTGCCCCCTCAGAATGTCAGGCACTGCCTTCAGGGTCCATTTCAGGGTCCATCCCAAAGAGGAAACATCACCTGGTTTGACCAAAAGTGAAGAAAACCAAGAGGAGAATGTTTTTACCTATCAGGGTCCATATAATGGGATGTTGGGATGATGGTCACATGACCAATTACCAAAAATGGTCAAAAATGAAAGTTGTAGCCCTACACTATAGCTTCCTGAATCTGTTTGAATTAGAAAAGTTTGTAGTGTCCACTTTTTGGGACTACAAAAGTTTGTAGTTGACATGTAGTTTATGGTGTTCTTGGCTCTGTCCAGATTATGGGGGTGAGGTTGAAGGGTTGACATGATCTTACTTACATATTACCAATGCTGCTGCATTAGTTTTTGACATTATGCACAAGTTGTCTTCACATTAGGAAAGGCTATCCTATGCCTTCATAATGGCACCTACTGTCCTATCTCAAAATATAATTATTATAAG